AGTGTCGCGCCCGTACCGGACCAGGACCTGCAATGGGATCGCAACCCTCGGTGCTGCGCCCGCCCCTCGCTCAGCCAGTGAGTGGAAACCGGTCTGTATGTGGGATCTGAACTGTCGGTGGGAGCGCCGCCGTGCTCCCAAGCAGCGCACTGTAGCAGTGCGCCACTGGGCCGGCCCAAAAGCTGTATTATTTAATGTATGCCGCTTGATAAGTTTGGAGATAAGTATGCATTCCTGAAACCACCACCACTATCTATGCCATAAACCTATCCAAAAGCTTCCTTCTGTCCTCTTTATTATTATTGTGTGTTTGTGATAAGAAAATATATCTTCCCTCTTAGCAAATTTTTAAGTATATAATACAGCATCGTTAACTACAGGCACCACACTGCGTAGTAGATCACTAGGACTTAATTCATCTTGCACAACTGAAGCTTTGTACCTTTTGACCAATACCTCCCCACTTCCTGATTGGGAGTACTTTTGGGGGACTTCTTTTTTTTTAACCCTTATTTCTTCTTTTCTATAGTTTCAAATTTCTTAATGAACAAGTATTATTTTTATGTTGAAAAGAAACATTAAAAAGAACTACCAGAAAAATGCTCAGGTTGTAAAACCCCACAATAAAGAAAATGGGTGAGAGAAGAGCAGCTGTGCACTGTCCCTGGACCGCAAGGACCCACCTGCCGAGTCATAGCCTCTGTACTCCAGCCGCTGCAGGCCCTTGATGAGGGTTTCAAAAATCTCCTTCCTTGTCCGGGGGACTCTGTAGTTCATGTAGGCGAAGATTCCTGTTCAAAGAGAAAAAATGGCATGTTAATAAAGCACTCTGTTGGTGTTTAGAAGAAAAAATTCTGGAGATGCAGACAGAGGTGGCATCGCAGAAAGACTCCCCAGGCTGCTTGTAGAGGAAGGTGTGGCCTTCCCAGGCACAGTTGCAGAGGAATGGCCCTCCCCTCATGCTTCTGGAATGGTATTGTACTCAGCCCTTCCCCCTCACAACAAAAACACTCAAAAACCCTGTGTCACACCTGCTGGCCTTGTAATTCCTCTGCAGAGAGTTTATCCTGTGGATGTACGTTCAGGAGACAGCTTTCCCCGTGGCAAAGATCAGCAAAACAACCCAACCACCTCTGGACATCTGGAAGTCACCACTTCCACGCATTCCTTGATTTGCATTGAGTCATAAGAAGTCACAGCAGTCCCTTGTGGCAGGTGGGAACAGGTGCTGAGACCATTGCTTCCACTTTCCACTTGCCTGTATGGCTTGGAGCTTGACCATGAACAGCACTTCTTTTACAACAGCAAGAATAAAACCATCTTATGCCCCGTCGGCCCCTGGAGAATTACTTATCTTCAAAGTAAATCAACAAGCCAAGAAGATTTTGTTTGGCTTCATTTTCTGTATTCGTATTTCAAAATAATATTTCTCCTAATAGGAAGTAATAGTCGTCATGTTGGTTC